CAACAGATACCGCAGGGTATCGTCTGTCCTCTATTACACATAATTAGCAATGCAGCTGATTGGTTGTAGTGCTGGTACTATTACTGACGCTAATAGTAGTCAGAATTGACGCTACTTAAAGTAAATGTTGGGGCACTTTTCCCCTTGATGCCATCTAGGAGTTTTAAACTGGATTTATGCTATTCCGAGAATATAATGTTCGAGGCCCGGAGCACATCAGGGTTTGCATCGATTTCCGCCCTCTCACCTCTATTCACCAAAAACAATGTCAGTTGCTACTAGTTTGCACTATGAGGACTAGGATACCACTGCTAGAAGTAAGATACCAATGCTAGGAACGTTAATTCTAGTAATCATACTTAATAAGACCACTAAATCGTATACCAGAATACGGCCGATACGTACATGTAGGAAATCGGCACCTAGTATGCAGTCTCAAAATATATCGGGCAAATAATAACTAATGGGTTAAAGAAGCGTTATTAAATAATAGGTCAAGTGCTACATACCTTTTTGTCGCAACATAGTGTCATTTGCCGTTTTTAGGCTGACTTTTCGACTTACTACTGCATCGAACTATAGCTTGGAATTTACGGAACATCTCCTGTCCAAAAGAGAGCCATCTGCTCCAGAATCATCTAAACATGGCAACTTAACATTTTCTATGACTGTATTAACAGCTGCGTGATAAGACACGCCTCCTACATTTGCATAAGCGTAAAAGATAGGAATATACACTTGCCAGGTTCAATTGGGAAGGTACAGTTATGATCGCTGTGATAAGTACTTTATTAGTCTGACGCTTCCGATGTAGTCTCGGATCCAACATTAGAGATAATAGCAGAAACGCTTAATTCATACACAGGGAGTTGCAGTATTTAGAGGATACAGTCGCCAGGCTACTACATACCTAGTACAATTAAACATTCCCTCCCGACGAGGATAGTTACCTGGTTGTGTGCTAATTATTAGATGGCCGACGTGCGAGTCGTGACCTGCTGAAATTTTATCACCCGTGCTAGCCTTGGGCGTGATAATTGCTCGTCCCCTCCCCCGGGTAACGAATCGCCTTGGCCAAAACACCGAAAATTTATTGACATTTCATTATTGTGGTTTATAAACCGAGATACGTTCCGTGTAGGGGAAACCACGTATTCCTATCTGCCATTAATAAACTACCATATGTTTTTCATTAACATTTTCAGTGAAAGTGAACTACGTTGTTTACGTAATGATAATGATTAGTGAAATTTGGGATATTGTGTTATTCAAATGGATACTGTAGAGTTTTAAACAATCTCATAATAAGAAACTTTTGAGGAAACATCTAGAGTTGCTTCA